TGTAATAAATGGCTTTTTACCTGATCAAAAAATTAAATATAGAAAGCAACATAACAAAGGACCATGCCCTGATTTTTAAGATTTTCACTACAATATAATGAAGTTTATTTACCAAATTTTTGTCTTAAAACGACATGTGGCAATAACTGTGTTAAAATAGAAAATGAAATTTGTTTAGTAAAAAATATTTGTGTTTTTGATGATATTACCTATATTGTATACTGGTCATTTTTGACAAAATCAAATTTTTTTACTTATCCTTGTGATTCAAGTGTGTTAGGAATATTTCTAGTATCACATTTAGATAAAGTGGATCGTATTGCAATTTTAGATGACAAATTTCTCAAGTGTGTCTTGTTACAAGTTGACAATGGTTTTGTCGTGTCACCCTTGCTTCACTTGTTATAATTAAATTTGTTGGAATTTGTTTATATATTTTTATTATTGATATAAAAAAATAAATTGTTTTATTATTTAATAAGTGTCTATTTTCTAATAATAACAATATTATATTAATATTGTTTATAATGATACGTTTGATAGTTAATAATTTAAATGTTACGTGATGTGTATTTTGTATTTGTTTTCAAATTTTATTTCCTTTTTATTTTTTAATTGCTTTTTGTATTTTTTGCTGTTCTCTATTTTTAAATTTCTCAAATTTAAGTTATTTTTAATTATCAACCAACACTTAATTACTAACTATAATATGTCAATAATACTACCATATTTAGTCTATAATTTTCTTCTAAAAGAACAATGGATAAATTGTATCATATTGTTAAATTTATTGATGAAAAAGATTCAGTGGCTGTTGTTCCCACTAAATGGGTAACAAATGGTATTTGTCTATGGCCCTGCTCATATAAGACCGAACGCCTTAACAGAGCCATTAAAAAATGTGAAGTTCCTGGAGATGATTGGACTGAATATGACATAAGTATCATGTATAACTCTGGTTAGTAATTTCACAAAAATTTTTAAAAGTTTATGTTTTTTTAAATTGTTTTTCTTTTTGAAACAATTTTTCACTATTTTGATTTTTAAACCCCAAATTTTTTTAGTATCATATGGAAAAGCGAGAGAAAAACTACCTATGGCAGAAGTTTCATCAGATTTTTTCTCAAATAACGAGGGTGAAGATTCAATTAATTCAGAAGAAAATAGAATTCAGAAGAGTCTTCGCCCTACCAGGTGATGGTCTTTCTCATGATGATCATTATGTGATTATATGTAATTTAGATGATGATCATCATATCATGATGTTGATTTTCTTTCATTATTTTACAGAGATGTTAGTCGTATGCATATAATTGAGATACTGAGAGTTATTTTTATAATGCTCATTTTGTTTGTTTTTTTTTATAAATTTTAAGATTTATATTTTATCACATTATATAATAGCGATGTCAATGCTCATTGGAGAGTGTTTGACACGATACTCTTGGCAGCGATTGCAACCGAGGTAATAGCGAGAAAGAGTAGTAGCACTTTTTTATATAAGAAAAGTCACCGATAGTGTATGCTATTATCTAGCTTACGCAAATATTTAACTTTCTTCAAATTATGTAAAACTAAAAAATATATCAAGTTTTTTAGTTTTACTTTCACTTGAAAAATGCATTGCGGCAACAATTCCTTTAGATTTGATCTGTAGCGCTTAATTCCGTTTGATTAAGATTTTATTATTTTATATAGTTTTTTATAAAATTTTATAAAATTTTTTATAAAATTTTTCATAATCGTTGAGATGGTGTAGCCTAATATTAAATATTTTTACAGCAGTTGAAAAAGAGCTTCTTATTTCAGTAGAGAACCTGAACAAAAAGTTAGATACAAATAATGCCTTAATAAGTCAACTTATTGGAATGCTTAAACAAAACAGGGAAGCAATTTTGGTTGATGAACCTTTCGAAATTCCAGTAAATGATGAGTCAAGCTTACTCAAATTAAACGAAAACATCGAATCAGATAAGAAAGTTATGAATGCACTGGTAAGTGTGAGCCATACATTTATTCGTTGTTTTTTTATTTCTTTATACAAAACATTTTAAAAGTATTTTTATTTTGAATTTACAGTTTAGTATTAAATAAGTATTTTACAAAGTTAAATAAAATTGTTGATGAAAGACAAAGATGGTTATCATGTATAATGTGTATGTAAATTTTAGAGCATGAAATTGGCATCCCATGGTGGCTCAACAATTAAGAGGACTGTTTGGAATTTAATTCCAATGGTGATTGGCACCAATATAGAAAAAAAAATAAATTGGTCAGGAGCAAACAATAAGCTTGCTTTGAAAACAATGCCTTTAAAAAAAGTTTTATTGGGTAAGAAGAAATTTCATTCTATGTATAACATTTGTATAAATATATATATTATGCTGATTCAAAAAACAACTTTTTTTTATATAGTCCGTTCCTCAAACGTAAATGTATTTTATATAATAAAAAACAAGATTTAAAATTTTGGTGCTGGAAAACAAATATTAATCATTCTATATGCAAATTATTTTTTCAAAATTTACTGCACATAAAGTTAAAAAAAAAATGTTTTTTTTTAACTTACAAGATAAAGTAAATGTTAATTATTTTTAAATCTTGTGTTTTATTATATATTTATTTTATCTTGTGTTGATTATAATTATTTTTAACATTTAGTTGTGCATCTTTTGAGTACTGGGCTGACATTTTGATTTTTTTCCCAATAATATTAGGAACTCGGTACTTTTGCAACCCCTAAAAATATTTTTTGTTTAAAAAACTTCAAATTTAGCGTTATTAATGCCATAAATTATCGTGATTCAAAAGCGACTTTTTTTTAAATAGTCCACTGTTCAACCTTAAATGTGTTCTCTATAATAAAATTTTATTATAGAGAACACATATTAGGTTGAACAGTGGACTATTTAAAAAAAAGTCGTTTTTGAATCACGATAATTTACACAAATATGTTTATATGTATAGTAATATATATATATATATATATATATATATATATATATATATATATATATATATATATATATATATATATATATATATATATATATATATATATATATATATATATATATATACATTTATATATATATATATCAACTATTTTATATATATATATATATATATATATATATATATATATATATATATATGTATATATATATATATATATATATATATATATATATATATATATATATATATATATATATATATATATATATATATATATATATATATATATATGTATATATATATGTTTAATTATTTACTAATGTATACATAAATATATTCCATATATACAATGTAGTCACACTGTTTAGATGCTGTTAAAATAAATCCTTCGACTTCAGGAGCAGTGTCTGAAGAGGTTGAACGTTGGATAAAAAGATACTTTCAACTTTCCGGTGATCGAAATGGCGGCCGTAAAGCTCGGGAAGATCTTAAAAATTCGTTGCAAAAATAAATATTTGATTCATTCAACGTTTTTGTTTTTATTATTTCATTATTAATTAAAACACTTTTGGTTTACAATAAATTTCAAATATACTTATTTGTTTGAATTTTATGGAATAACACATTTTCACGGAAACGGCTAATAATAACGTGCTAGTGTATGTAGTAAAAGTATCTAGTAAAAAGTAACGCTTTAGAGCTGACACGCAAACACGAAAGATTGTTGGAAAATGATCACGGATCAGTACTGTCAACAGATGCTGGCAAGCGATCGCGGGCCAGTGCTGGCAAATAATCGCAGGCCAGTGCTGGCGAACGATTGCGGGCCAATACTGGCCCATGGCTAGCGGGCCAGTGCTGGCCCAATGGCCGTTTTGATGCAGGCCCGTGATCGACGGCCGTCATCGCGCCGTAGTCGCAAGCGGAACTGGGCCAGCATTGGGCCGCTAGCGGGAGGCTGTCTGGGAATTTATATCACTACGCTTACATATTACATTTTGTCAAAACAAAATAAAAAAATGAAATTAACTAAATCAATAATATTAAAACTAATCTCAAACACATGGTATTTTATACCATGTTGTAGTATTTTCAATTATACCAATGCTTATATTTATTTCTTCATTAATCTTTCATTCCTAATTTAGCTTAAACATTTAGTTTAGCTTAGTAATATTATAAAATGCTTACACGTTTATAGTTAAAAAGGTAATAGAATTTAGATGTTTGAAAGAAAAGGCGGTAATAATTTAAAATATAACAATAAATATAAAATATGTTAGCAATTTTTATAATTACAGGAATTTTTAAAAAGTTAAAATTAAATATATCCTTTATCATATCCATAACGTTTTTATATTAAAAAACAATTTTACGGAAGTGCAGAAATATTTTCAACTTTATACAAAAATAATAATAATTTTTTTCTTATTCTCTTTATTTAAAAGCTTTAAAATTGTTATAAATCAAACTAAACGATAACACTTTTTAATTTAATACTTAGTGACAACCTTTGACATCTTTATAATCGGCGTTTAAAAATAAACTTCATCACCATAATTGCTTGCCAGAAGCTCATTTATTATCAAACTTTTGAAGTTAATTCACCGTAAAAAAACTTTTCGTGGCAATAATTTCCACTTCAGTCAAAAAAGATTGATTGAAGCTATTTCTACTTTTGTGTATATATTTTTATTATATATTTAATTTTGTTTTTAGTACAATTCTAAGAATTAAAAAGGTATTATTGTAAAGTTTTATATATAATATCATTATTATTATTATTAGGATTATCAAAATAATACCTTTTTGGCATGTCAAATTGAAAGAATTCATTGCCATTCCAGTTGGACATGTGCACACAGCATTTCCTGATATCTCATTACAAATGTATTCACATTTCTTTGAAAGACAGAGAGTACTTATCAAACATGTTGTTCCATCAGAATCCAATTTATAATTTAAAGGGCATGAACATACAGCAGCATCATTTATTACTTTACAGTAGTATGGAGAGTGGCAATTTTTATAATAACATTTATCTTTGAAATAAAAATAAATAAAAATTGAAAAAATGTAAAAAGTATTATAAATTTAAAATAAAAGAAATGAGAAAATCAATCAAAACAATTACTATTTATATAAAACTACTTTTTTCATACTATATAACTCTAAACGTATATTTATACTAATTTTTTTGATTTGTCTTTTGAAAAGTTCGTAAGTGCTTTTAAATTGTTATAGTCAAATTAAGCAGTTTATCATGATGATGTCAATAGGAATAATTTTAGAAGCTGTTTTAACCTTTTATAAGACAACTTATCCACATATTTAAATGTTCTAATGATCAAGGAGTTTTTCCTTATGATTTAAAAACAGCAAAATGTTTTCTTTTAAATAAAGTAGTAAAAAAAACTAATGTAAAATACTATTTTCTAATTTCCACCCTCTCAGTTTTTTTAAAAAATTTAGAGAAAATTTTGTACATTAGTATAAACAAGCACTTTTAATAAAACAAATTAATTAGCAAACAAATTGAAAATAGAACATGATTTCAAAAACAAAACCTCAACAGATCATGCTTACAAGAAGTTTATCAGAGTTATTTAAAATTCTAAATTTACATTGAGAATATTTCTTGATTTAGCAAAAGCGTTTGATACAATTGATCATAAAATCCTTGCTAAAAAACTAAAACATTATGGCGTTACAGGCAATGTTTCAAAATGGTCAAATATTTATCTAACTAATCGTTAACAATTTGTTTCTAGAACATTTTTTATTAAATATTGTTGCTGATTAAACATTTTCATCAAACATGTAAAATACTACATGTGAGTTACTCAAGAATCTATATTAGGGCCTTTCCTTTTTTTTAATTAATTAATGATTTATATAAAGACTCGTTTTGCACATTTTAGCATCTGGTGCAAGATCTGTTTGTTTCCTAAACGCTACTACATCAAATTATTCTGAATTTACTCTATGAATAAAAATAACTTAATTGTTGATTCAAAAATGATAAAAACAAGATAAAGATGTTTTAATATATAAAAAACTGGGATTCTCTGCAACAAGAATAGAAATTTTTGAACAAGAATAGAGTTCACCAGGCATTACTTATGTCTTATTTTTAAGATGTACGATATACTTATATTCATGTATATAGATAAAAAAATCATATATATAGTTATATATGAATGATTATAATGCATATTAAAGGCTACAAGATACAAGATACCTATAAGCTATGTAACATAAAGTATTTGTACATAAGTTGTATAAAAGTTTATAATGTTACATAGTTAATATACTATAATATTTATTATGTTACATAGTTTATATACTGATATGTTTGCATTTAGTTTATTTTTTAATTTATAATATGGGCAACGTAAACTATGTAACATATTTTTTATAATATATTATTTAACCATATACAATTTGTATCCAATAAATTTGAGTACTTAATATATACATTGTATTTCAACACAATTACAACAATTGTAATCACACACATTTAATGCATACAAATAAAGCTCTGAAAAATAATTATATATTTCCAAGCATAGTCTACTATGTATTACAATACAGTATATATATATATATATATATATATATATATATATATATATATATATATATATATATATATATATATATATATATATATATATATATATATATATATATATATATATATATATATATATATATGTATATATATATATATATATATATATATATATATATATATATATATATATATATATATATATATATATACACAACATTGCCTATCAATTAAAGCATGCTTATTTATATATCCTGATTTATTAAAATTATTTTAAAAACTAGTTAACTTATTAATTATTTTATATTTTCTATTTAATAAATATCCTGTTAATTATTTAATTGAAAAATTGTTTCCATAAAATTTATTTTGTATCCCTAATTATACGTACGTTTATAACATCGACGATGTTATTTGATTTTTTTTTGTTAGTCAAAAGTTAATGATTTATGCTTTATTTGTAAAATTAATTTAATACATTGACAAATTTTTTTTGTAATTTTAATTAAACTTTTATTAGCATTTATCAACTATAAACTTTTAATTTATAATTTTGAAATAGTACTGATGTAAAACAAAAATAAAGTCGATATTAAAATAGCTACATAATGAGCAAAGTAATACAGCATTAAAATTCTAAAATCATGGTCAAGAATCTCTGAAAAATTACAAATCTATTTTTTTTTTAAAACCAAGGACTATCTCGTTGACAAATAGCCAATAAGTTAACCCAGTGGGCACGGACGTAAATAAAACGTCTTTTAAACGTCTTATATACGTTTTAGACGTCTTTTGAACGTCTTTTAAACGTTTTGGACGTCTTTTAAACGTTCAAAAGACGTCTTTTTTTGGTCCGATGCCCACTCGGACCAAAAAAAGAAATATTGGATAATCCGTTATTGAACATTTTTGGAAACGTTAGACTGAAACAGATGACATCTAGACGATCTTGTAGGCCAACGATAACAACACATAGATAAACGTTTATTAACTTGCTTGATAAAACATGACATGAGTTGTTATGTTTTCTGCTACGGCAGAACATATAACATTCAAACCAAATCACCTTAAGAGTGATTTGATTAGAATTGTATATGAAAAGGAATCAAGAATGGTAGTGGCAGTGTGGGCATTTGGGCCTACATGAATTATGTATATTTTAGATCCTATCAATTATTTGAAGATTGACGTAATGCTTATAGATATATTGAAATTTTAGTTAAATGCCTTCTTCAATGTTTATTTGAGAAAGGTGTTTCTTCAAAATAATGAAATTCTTTTTTTCATGGTTTTTCTTTTGTATGTTAATGGTTGGATATATTACTTGAAATATATCCTTAACTTTTGTCCAATTTTTTATTGTTTCTCTAATTTTTGGTATCTAAACCATTAAGCTAAAAATCTTTTTTTTTGGTTTTAATAATGCATAATGATTTCTTTTATGACGTTAAAAAATAAAAAAAATAAAAACATTTTAGTTTTCAATTCAGTTTTTTTTTAAATTAATGTTTTATATAAAACAAAAAATTAGTATACTCGAACTTAAGGCCAATTGTAACAAGGCATAAAGTTGTAAATATTGTTTCAAACTAAAGGCTGAGTATTTTTGTCATAGCAGAGGCTGAGTATTTTTGTCGTGTTAACCACATATGAAATATCAACCATAATGGCTCTTCTGGTTCAATGAAGTCTGCTGGTGCTATCTCAAAGTTTAGGCGCTCTATAACAAAGTATAATTGTATATAGTAGGAGTATCTTGGAGATGGAGACACTTTTTGGTTATGCAACTTCAACCATAGCACAGCAAAAAACTCTACTCACTTACGATTGCCAATAAAATAATTATTTGCCCAAGATTTAAAGAGACGTAAACAGTTCGAAGCAGTATAAACTATCTTTAAAAATAATTAAAACTTAACACACTCGTTTTCATAAAATCCAAGAAAAAAAAATAATACCTTAAAACTTCTCAATCTATGTATTTATTTTTCTAATATAAAAAAGCGCATTTTCGATATTTTTAGCAAGAAATATTTCGTGGCAAGAACAAATAAGTAAAGCAAGTAAAGTAACAAAAAATAATGTCTTATTATAAAAATCTAAAAAGGTTTTAATACCAAAACTTTTAAATATGTATATATATATTTTTTAATCACAGCTAACTTATTTATGAAAATTTTGCTTGGTGCAACACCAACGCAACCAAAAACACCAGCACGGGGCAGTAGCTCTTTTGGCTAAGAGTGATGGCTTGTGGCCTACGGTGACTAATGTGTGAATTCGATCAATTGAAATCCATTCTGTAGGTCTTACGTCTGGCTCTGATGTGCTAGCCCATAAGCGCAAAGAGTGAGTGTGTTTAGCTTTCTATTACCCATTATCAAAGTGAACGAAGACTTAACGAGACCATACTTGACGACCAAACGGTACATACTAACGCACTACACCATCACACCTGTAGACATTAACAGCCTCTAAAATCAATATATTAAACATTTGTTCTTTTTTTTTGATTATTTGTTTTTGAGTGACCCAAGAGAGAGTGTTACAAGGGTGAGCGATTAAACATTTAGATTTGACCAAAGGACTAGAGATCACCAGCCTATTCACCATGCTATATGCTATTACATCTGTAGTCTCAATCTCCATTTTTTTAGTGGCATACCTCACCACCTATTATACTTTTTATTTATTTTTTATTTTTTTATTTTTAAGTTTTTTAATTTAGATTTTATATTAATGCTATAATTTTTTCATATTTGTTTTATTTCAGTAAGTTTATATATTTTATTTTCTCCGTGTCGCATAAGTTCTTGTAGCTTAGTGGATTATGCGCAGCCTGCAGTGTCTGAGGTTCCAAGTTTGATGCGAGGATGCGTCTGTTGAATACATTTAATTTATTACACAATTTATAATATTTTAATGCATTGATTCATTTTATTTCAACTATAAATTTTAAAACACACATATTATCACATATATATTTAATGACGTAACACAGATTACTTTTATATACTTTTATATACTTTTATATTTTATATATCTTCACATGCTCCAAATTCAACCACTACCGTCTCAAAAATACAACTTTGTCACCGCTGAAGTTACCTTCATGTTCATTAACATACCCCATAAGGATGGTATAGAAGCTATCAAACTACTTTTTAATAACATACCCAGACCACCCGATTCACCACTTGTAGCATTTATACACATTATGATTGATACCATTCTGACAAACACGACGTTCCAGTTTGACGACCGCAACTATTTACAAGTGACAGGGATATCGATGGGTACACGCATAGCACCACCATACACTCACATATTCATGGGTACAATAGACGAAGCCATCACTAGACAATTTAAAGACAGGATCACGTTCCAGAAAAGATTCATCGAGGACATTTTTTTCATATTCACAGGCGCTATAGAAGATCTTGAACATGTTATAACATTTATGAAAAA